GAATCATAGAATCACAGAATATTTAAGGTTGGAAGGGACCTCCAGAGGTCATCTAGCCCAACCCGTCTGCATACGCAGGGTCGCCTAGAGCACGGGGCACAGGGCTGCATCCAGGCAGGTTTGGAAGATCTCCAGAGGAGACTCCACAGCCTCTCCTGGCAGCCTGGTCCAGGGCTCTGGCACCCTCATAGTAAAGAAATTTTTCCTTAGGTTCCTGCAGAACTTTTGGTGCCTCAGCTTGTGGCCGTTTCCTCTAGTCCTGTCACTGGCCACCACTGAAAAGAGGCCACCCCCTCCCTCCCTTGAGGTATTTATAGACACTGATCAGGTCCCCCCCTCAGCCTTCTCTTCTTCAGGCTGAACAGGCTTATAGGGCAGGTGTTCCAGGCCAAAGGCAGACTGTAATGAAAGAAAAGGGAGAGTGGACTGTGCTTGGAAATCACTCTGTTTCTTTTGTTTTGTTAAGTTAAGCTGCAGTGTTTTCTGTTTGAAAGATTCTATTTATTTATTTAAAATAAATAAATACCTGAAGATTTTGCTTGAGCTTTCTTCATGGTCCAGGCTTTTTGAAGTGTTACACTCAAATGTACACTTAGGGTTTAGGGAAGAACAGAGCTCTGCCAGATTCTTCCTTATTTAAGGCAAAGAAAAGCCAGATTTTCTCTAGTCATTTTCTCTAATGAAGTAGATGCCAAATGATGTATTACAGCATCTGTTGTCAAAAATAATTCGTTAAGAGATTGACTTACAATTTGAATAGGGGATGTTTCCCATTTTTGCTTATTCCAGGGATAGCAGCAAGGGTCTGATTTAATTATTTCTTTTATAACATTGAACTTGGAAAGCTTTATAAAGAGAAATGCGTTAGATTGATCTATTTCGTATTTTGTATCAAAATGATAATCAAATGCTTTTATTTGTGCAGTTGATTGATTTATTTCTAGAGGCCAAATAAATAAACAACAGCCTCTGAAATAGTCGTAAAGTATATTAGAGTCTTATTTAGAGACTCATTAAAAACTCATCAGGGCTTTAGCTATAGATAGTATAGTTATTTAATGTATTTTTAATTACTGACTACATTGTAGTCAGTACTAAAGCATTGTATTTATTGGAGCCCAGTTTAAGACGGTGATAAAGTATTGGCTGCTGATGTACCTGTCCTAATTCTTTGATATGTTTTAGTGAAGATACATATATATATGTATATATATGCATACACACACACACACTCAAATAATGTCAGAGAATTGAAATTTGTTTTCAGTCTTGGAAACAATTCAAGGGAAAAAAGTAGTCATTTACAATGTCATTTACAATTTGATAATGTTTGCACCTTCAAAGAGGCTTATATAATTTACCTGCATATGCTACCTATGCAACTGAGCAGGCCATTTAGTATAAGGTGTTTTCTGTTGGTATTATCTAATGTGGGAAGGTGACCCTGGGCTAAATTGAAATGTGAGATTTGGATGCCCGTGGGCATTCACTGGTTTGATTGGGGGAGATTACCTGGATTTTTAATATATCTTAATTACTGTGCTTATATAAATTGTCACATTAGAAGCTTCTCAACTCTTGGGTCTGTTCTAACAATGATCTGCAAACAACAGGAATATCCTGGGCTCTTCATGGAGGTTTGAAGCTTTGTGCGGTCAGTGAGAGGCCTGGAAAGGATCCACAGAAACCTGCTCCGTGGTTAGGTAGGGTCTACAGCCACCCAGGCAGCAACTGGTGCGTGGTAGGTAAATGAAAGGAATCTGGAGCCTTTTTTAATGAAGAGAACGTAATGCAGGGTGTGTTTTAGGAGGCTAATGGGCAACAGGTTCCTGACATGTATCTCCAAAAGCAGGGAACGATTGGATGTGGATTTGCTGGGGAGCACTATTGTTAGCAGTGATGAGCTAAGGCTTTGCAGCGAAACTGTCCCAGGTGAAATTCTCTTTGACGTCTGCGTACATTCCTTGCAGCCTTTGTTAAGTGCTTTGTTTTTAAAATACTTTATTTAAATCCTTTAAATTGGGGTGTGAAGGATGTCAGTCCCAGAGCGTTATGGTGATTTAGGACTTTTTCCTCCCAAGTGCTGGGCCACCTGCCAGCTCCGTTCAGATGCTCTGACAGGAGCTTGGAGCTTCTGGAGATCATTCCAAAGATGCTTGGAAGACTCTCCAAAGTTGCACTGATCCGATGGCAAAGAGTAAGGGGGCCAGCTGAGTCACAACTCACTTGGCGTTGGCAGCGTGCATGTCTTCTCAATCAATTTCCCTTCAAAAGACATAAAATATAGCTCTAATAATGATAAAAAACAGTTGCCTGCCATTAGTTGCTTCATTACCTGGGTTTTAGCTCTGTGGACTACAGAGTGGAAGTCAAACCCTGCTGAAATCTTGTTGGCCAAGTGGGAATTTATCTACTGCGAGCCTACGGAAAATGGGAAATGCGGGTTTGAATCTGATCTGTTTGTGGTGGGACCAGAGGTGTCTGAACCAGTGTCATGAAGAGCAGAATTCTGTCTACTTGAAGTCACTGAGGAGTCCCGACATAATGTTGGAAGGAAAGAGTATCGTGGGTTCCAGTCCTTGTTCTAGGATTTTGGGGGCATTTATCCAGTGATTTATTTAATGCCAAACTCACAATCCAAAGAGCAGTTTGATTACAAAACTCGATTGCAAAAGCTGTGTCCAAGTGCCCTGCCCTCTGTGGCTGTGAGTCATTGATGCTGTATGAAAATATACATTTCAAGTTTTAAAACGATGGTAGCTCCTTCTGCCTATGCTTATGCTCTGCATAGCTTGCTTTCGTTGGTATGGGGTAGTAACGGTCAGATTTCTGCCCTGGTAGCTGGAAATCAGAAACAGATGCTCAGCTCAAGGCATTTGTGGATATGTAGGTGAATTATGGGCACCTAAGGAATGTCCTGGTCAGAAGAAGTTGATGCAGCTGCTGATTGAATGGTCTGCAAACTATGATTTGAGAATCTAAGATCTCTTTCTGCCCTGTTTTTTACCCACTACATCCTTTTCTTCCTCCTCTTGGCCCTTTGGATCTCACCCAACTTTTGAGCCACGTCACATTGCTGCACGTTGCGGTGCCTGTGCAGGCCTGGGGATCCACGGTGTTGGCCGGGGTCACTGTGTGCAGTGTAGTCTGAGCTCTAAAAACCTTGGGCCCAAATGGGTGAGTTAAGAAGCATTTCATTAAAATTGTCCTGCATGTTCCAGCAGCCTTGTTCCCTCCCCTCCCTGCTTGGCTTCTTCACCCCACGCAGGTGCAGGTGTAATAATCCAGACATCCTTCTCTCAATAAACATTTAAACGTGCAGTTTATTTTGGATTATTTAAGCAGATTAAACTGAAGGAAAAACACTGAAACATGCTGTAACAAATACTGGGTTGATGGAGGCATGTTAATGTTTGATAATATTTTATCATTATTTTTCCAGTTCTGTTTGTACAGTCTGCAGTACAGCACTGTGGTGATGGTGCTATCGTTATGGCTCAGACAACACTGACACTTTCATTATAAACCCTTTTTATTTTTTTTCCAAATGTTCCTGTTAAAAAATGTAGAAAATTATTTTTGGCCTTCAGTTTTTCATGTTGCTTATCCTTCTGAAATCTGTTTTTTATTTCCCCAAAGCTTGCACTAAAATCCTGTGGTCTTTGTTTTTGAGTCATCAAGAGGGAAAAGGCTGTTACTCAAATATTAAGAAAATTCACAGCCTCCTCTTTGTGCATTGCAGATACAGAAGCAACTTGAACTGAAAGATCCTGATGTGATGTGGGATTAGTTCTTGGACTGGCCTGCTACTGCAGTCACACCAGTCTCCATATATTGGGCTCTATAGAAGAGATAAAGAAGAATCTGTGTCCCACGTCTGCGACTTCTTAGCAGCCTCAAACAGGCTTCACTCTACTTGGAGGGCACAGGAGTGTTGGTCAAAGGGACCCATGGAGGTCCCCACTCCAACTTCTGCTCAGAAAGGCCCCTGCCCTGGATCATGCTGGTCGGGCTCCTGTTTAGGTGAGGCTCAAAAGTCTCCAGGCATGACTGCTGTGTCACTAATGTGGTAACAGTCAGCCGGATGAATGCCTAGGCTGCATTATTTTCAAAGACATATGGAGAGCATCTACAACATCTCTTCCAATTTAATTTTGGCTGTATCTAATTACCAAGGCCTTCGATGACTTCTTGGAAAACTTGCTTGCAAGTCTAGTCATCGTAAGAAGCAACAAATATTGGTGTTTTATGACATTTGAGTCATAGTAAAGTAAAATTGAAAGGAAATTTGAGTTAATTTTAATTTTGAACTAAATTCTGAAATACTGCTTAGTAAATATTGTTTGGTCTTTGAAGCTGAATGAACTGCTCTTTTTCCAGCAGAGATCTCAGAGTTTTATTCCTGTAGTAATAGTGAAAAAATTGAGTATATCACTGCAGTATGATTTATACAATCACAGCAAGTGTGGTTGCATTGATTTCTGCAGGAAAACCCAATATTTTGCCATAAAAGTGCTACATAGTCTGTTTGTATTGGCAAGTGAGAAGGGAAGGGGAAGCAAAAACACCTTTCCTTAGGGAATGGAGGACTGGCGTTAACACTGGCGTTTTAGTTTGGATTTCATTTTCATGCTGTCTTTATGGTATAACTTCTTGCCAATCTTTTCAGCAGAAACAAATATGCTTTTCACTGTGTTAATGTGGTTTTGGATGCGGGGCAGAGGGAAGCCTCGGTGCTCTGTTATTCAGCTCCACGGATGCTGGGGAGGGTACACAGCTCCTATTTTCCCCTCCTTTGAGTCCTACTGTGCTGAAGCTTTGTTTCATTTTGCTTCTGACTTTTTCCTGCAAGAGCTAATGTTATTATTTAAAATTCTAAGCATCGAAGCCATTTATCATTTTAGAAACAGCTCATATGTCTCTACCTGGTCTTCCGAGTTTTGCCAAGGGTGTTGGTTCTGCCACTGATTTTTCTTGTCTGTTTGCTTCGCCATCCAAAGGTCACCCAGAGACTGCGGGAAGGCGTCCCGGAGCCTAATCTCGGCCCTGCTGCACGCGTGGGCTCTGCGGCTGCCGCTGGCCTGGGCTGGCTGCAGCGCCCACCAAGAATGCGGCCTCGGTGCCCGTGGTCTGCAAGGCGCTGTGGGTGGTTGTGTCCCCATGGCCTTAGTGGGAGGAGGAGATGGGCACACGTCCCACTGCAGGGACCTTGTCCCTGTGTCCCACACGGGGCCCTTGGAGAGCAAATCAAATGTGGCTGGGCTTGTAGGAGCCCGGGCGCAGCCAGCGCGGCCTACGGAGCAGCGGCCCCCTCAGTGCCCATCGCGTGCGCAGGCTGCCGCGTCTCGGGTGCTTCACTCTCCTGCTGGACCCGAAGTTTCCCCTTGCTTCAGGAACGCACGTTTGGGCCGGCACAGGCAGGGCTGGCGCTGCAGGAGCTGCATCCGAAGCGAGGGTGGCAGCTCCTCACCAGGTGCAGCCCACGGCCCGTAGGCCCACGTGCCGCTGCCCTGTTTGTACATGCAGCCAGTGCTCCTGCAGCACGCACAGCCAGTCCCTTCCTTTATAAACCCGGGGTTTGGTGGATCTGATAGCAAAATGCAAAACACCGCTTTTTACAGAAGTAGAAAATCCAGGATTTAAAACAAGCAAAAAGCACACCAAGTTATTACCATTGTAATGAGGCAACTGGTGGCTCTATATGCCTTAAGACAATGGAAAATCATATATGTAATGTATATATCTTCAGAAATGGTGCAGTGTTTGATATGCTTGTCTAATACTAGAATAAGGTAGAAATCTGGATTTAAAATGTATTTATCAACATTTTATGGCATTAAAAACACTTGCGTATGGGTAGGAGTGGCAGGCTGCACAGGCTGCAGCACGTATCGATGCCACATTGATTCTGAGCATTTTCCTCATTGCAAGCATTTGTGTAGGTTACTATGAATAAACATAAATACTGATTTGTACATGTTGCCCTTCCAGTGACACAGAGATATATTGCCTTGCTTTGGCAGTCTGTGCACCCGCCTGTTTTGCATAGATGGCTAAAGGAGATGCGAGCCATCCTTTGGAGAGGCACTTTAGAGGAGAAAAGGTCTTTGTGCAAAGCTGCAGCTTAGTCTGAGTGTAAGTAGGGCAGAATTTGGTCCTGGGAGTATTATTCTCTGCACTGTGAGGCGTTGTATTAATAAATGCTTTCCTTTTTAACAAAATAAAATGCAAGAGCCCTTTATGATTTTATAGTTAAACTTTGTTTTGGAATGGGAAAAAGATATTTTCATCTTGCTTCTTTAGGCCTCCTTTAGCTTTTAATGGTTGGTCCTCTTGACCTTGTGTTTTCTTCCCACTTTTTTTTTTTTAATGTTGTCATGGAGAATATACCGTGTAAATGGGAGTACTGAGCGAGCTGCTGAACATAATCCTCAGTTTCTAACCGCTAATAGTTTGAGCAGTGTCCTGAGAGGGTGAGGAGGCTGCCTTACGATCCAGGACCCCGGGCTGGGAAGCTGAGGCTGAGAGAGGCTCCATGGTTTATGGGAGGCCAGCGAGGGAATAGGTGTGAGGGAAGCAGGTGGGTTATGGCTCCCTGGCCTCTGTTGCTGTGCCTGGACTAGCGCTGCCTCCCACAGAAATACTCGGTTCCTCCTAGGCATGCATAGCAGTGCATTGTCTTCCTTGGCTCTTAAATGTAGCCGTTCACGGAGCAGCTGATACTCAGTTCTCCGTGTCTGCCCTATTGAAAGGAACGGATGCCTGCAGGCAGGCACGAGGTGTCGTTACCTTTGACAGCCGCGGTGTTTTATGTTTTAAATTATGTGCTAGGCAGAATTTTGGGATACTAATTTGATATAATGAGATGCGCTTCTAATATCCACCCAGGTAAGTGAGGGCCTTGCAGCCAGCCTACTCTTTATTTAAAATTATTCCATTTCAGATGTCCTAATGAGTGCTGTGAGTTGTGTAATTCTTTTATAATTCCCCCACATTCCCAGAAGGGAACTAGGGGCTGGATTTTTTTTTCTTTTCCTTTTATTTTTTCTGTTTTGGTTTTGTTTTATTTCAAATTAAGATGAACACAGAATAAAGATACAGGAGCAAAGGCAGTTTCGTGAAGCACTTGCTATTGTGACAGTGGCAATTAGGACAAAATGTTGGAGGCTACCAGTGCTAGCGCCAAGGCAAGTCTTGAAGCCTTCGCTGTTTGCCATTATCTTATAAATATCTTGACTCTGACTTTACAGTGCTCTTCATAGAATTTAATAAAGCAAATGTAATAATGCAGCCTGTGCTTTAATGCACAATCTCAATCGAGTTGACCAGAAGATAAATAGGAACAGGAATGATAGTGCGTTGCTGCAGATTGGTTTTAATAAGCGTGGTATTTCACTGATGGGCCCGGCGCAGGAAGGCTCCTGCGCTGCCCCCGCCTCCTGTTTCACCAAGAACATTGATTCCCTGCAGACACATCTCTATTAGGCCTCTAGAAAGGCACAACTTCCAAAGCAGATTAGGTGGCAGGAACGGTGCTGGAGGACTCCAAGGGAAGGGCGCGCGGTGCTGACCCCGGGCGCTGCCGCCGCAGGAGATGACGGGCCGTGCATGCGGGGCTGCTCGCATCTCCTGCCAAGACCTGGGGCCAGCAACGTAGGGGCAGGTGTTAAGGGGGAGCTGTGAGGGTGAGGGAAATCACGTGCCGTTATCTACCCTCTCCTTAAAGCCGCCGCTGTGACGCAAATTTGGAAGAGCATCTGGCTGTGGGTTGTGAGCAAACTTGCTTCTCATGCTGGCGGCGGCAGAAGGCAAACGCTCCTCTTAAACTGCCTATTCCTCATTTTGATCTGACGTACTAAAAAGCATATAATTAATGGTTGACATTAGTAATTAACATTAACTTTATGGTGCTTAATATGCCATCGTCCATCCATCAAATAACCGGTGCGCATCACGCCTTTGCAGAAGGGCTTTACTCGCAGGGAGCGTGCCGCGGCTCTCGGAGGCAGGGCGTGCAGGGATGCGCGCTGCTCCTTCCGTCACGCCACGGTGCTCGTGTTTCTGCTTCTCCGCAGGAGCGCGCACGGCCGCGCGGGCCCCGGCCCTGCGCCGCTGCCGCCGGCGGCGGGTAACGAGCACCACCTTGCTGTGGCCGCCGCGCTCTGGAGAAACTGCTTCCCCTTCCTGAAGAGCCAGCGGATGGCGCAGGCGCCGCCCGGCCCGCAGCTCGCCGACACGGCCGCAGGTGAGCGCCGCCTGAGCCCGGCCTAAACCGCGGCCCGTCCAGGGTGCCACAGCCTGCGCACTTCCACAGAGGCGCAGAACGGCTGAGGTGCCAAGGGATCCTAGAGACCATCCAGTCCAACCCCCTGCTCCCGCCCAGAGCACGGGGCACAGGGCGGCATCCAGGCGGGTTCGGAAGATCTCCAGAGAAGGAGACTCCACAGCCTCCCTGGGCAGCCTGTGCCAGGGCTCTGTCACCCTCACATTTCCTGCCACGTAGTAACTTAACATGTATAAGTACAAGTTAGTAACTTAACTTGTTTAAACACAAAAGTTAAATCCATGCTGCCTACTTGGATGAGAGGCACACCTGATTTACTTTTCACTCCTATTCACAGATTATAATCAACGTTACAAATGTGATACCAACCAAATAAGAATCACTTACTTTGACTATATCCAGAATTTGTGTCTGTTTGTAGAAGTTTACTGTAATTTTGCATTGAGCTGTTTTATTCCTTATGCCTATGATTAAGTGTAATTTTTAGTTTTGTAAAAGATTCCTCTCTGAAGACAGGTTTTTAAGAAGTTGATTTTATGACTGTCACGTTTTGCTGAATCTTTAGGCTCATGCTCCTAAACCTATTTCATGATTTCTTTTTAATTTGTCATTCTGTTTTGCATTGAAGGATCTTAATCTGAAAAGTACAATATTGCATATTTATGTGTTGCAAAGAACACTGCTCCATCCCCAGCCAGAGGGTCAGCATGTCAGTAAACAGAATGAAAACCAAGTCAGATCTTTAACAGCTTAGTAGTTATCTTTAAGCTTAGTAGTTATCTCTACTTAAGAGATCTTTAAGCTTAGTAGTTATCACTACTCCATTTATTTTCACTGAAAATTTACTGTACTACTGCATGGTTTAGATTGACCAGACCTAGAGTTTGATCAGACCTGCAGTTTGACCTGTGGTTACAACAAAGTCTTGTTTCCATTAACTAATATTTAGGGAAGTGAAATATAAAGTAGTATTTTTTCCCATCTTGATGTGCATTAAATAAAGGTGTAAGCTCAGAAGTACTGAGTGAGTATTAGAAATGTTCAGACTGCTCAGTGGAAAATAGCCCTGCTGTAGTCAGTGGTGATGCTAACGAAGGGGGCAGTTTGCAGAGGCAGCGCTGAAGCATTTACAGAAAAAGAGCAAAACAAATCCAGAGGAGGAGGAGGATGCCAACATTACAGCTTTCATTTATTCCCTACAGTGTTACTGCCTTTGCCTATTTGTTTCATATTTACACAGCAAAATAACAAGAAAATCAGCCTCTTTCAGATTTTGCACAGGATTAGCAGAGGGCAGTTGTGAGCTGCGCGGTAGGGGTGTGTTAGGCAGTGCTACAGAGGGAGAGGGGGGCTCGGTATCCCCTCCTTTTTCATTCAGGGACACACATGGAATTGTTAACTCTGTCAGGCTTAAAGTACCCTGTCCCTGCAATGCTAATTAAAATGCCCTCATTGTTGCTGCCTCTGAAAACTAACTGTTTTTATGGCTAATTCAAAGTCAGCCCCTCAGTGCATGCAGTTTTGTAGATCACTGTTTTAATAAATCAGCAGAGTATTTAAATGTAACAGCAACTAGAAAAGTTGGGGATCAGTGAGTCCCTTTATTTCATTGCCTTCCAAAGCTGGTCGGTTCCTTGCCTCTTCTGATGCCACTCATTTCCTGTAGCCTAATAACTCAGCATTTCAGGGGACACCTTCTCCCCTCATTGAAATGCATTTGTCATTTGCAGCATTAAGTGACAAGATAGAAATGGAACTTGTTTACTGGATGTCGACCCCACAGATGACCTAATGGGACAGCAAAGGGTTCTGCTTCATAAGCACAAGTTCAGTGGCAAGGTTTATGCCGGTCACTAGAGCTGCACCTCTGGATGGAGGTTCTTCTGCAGGTGTGACTTGCACCTGAGTGCTGTATTTGCACAATAACCTTTGAAACATGAGACTCTTTTGATGAAACAAGAAAGGTGCCAACTCCTACTGGCCCCATAGATTCCCTAATACATTTCCTCACTGAGTGACTTGTGCAAAATAGCTGTGGAGATAGAAAAGCCCTGTAAAAGCTGTTATGCATGTAAAGGAAGTTATGGGTAGAGGCATGAAAACGAGTCCAAACAGACAAAAAAAAAAAAAAAAAAAAAAAAATTATGGCACGTGGTGAAGCTTTGCCTTTGGCATTGATAACCTGTGATGTCCTGAAAATCTTGAAAATTGTGCAAATTTGAACCATATATTTAAAATAGGACATGTTTGAATCGGTCTCCCCTCCTTTGCATTTAGCACATCCTTGGCTATAGACTCCCTGGGACAGGGCTGCTTCTTGCCCTGTGCGCTAACAGTATCCTTTAGAAAAGCTGCACAGTTTTCACAGAGGTTTCTGGTCCTTCCAGGGCAGCACCTTATGAACCATCATCCAGAAATTTCAATGCTTTCTAGTGGAACAGGAATATATTGAGAAACCATTAACACTGTGCCCTGTTTTTTCTCTCTTTAAACCCAGGTTTTACTCTCTTAGCTCTGGACATGCCCAGCAAAGCCCTGTCAGAGCTGCAGCCGCAGCCTGTTCTGTCGATGCTGCAGTTGTTCGGGTGGGATGACATGGTGTGGCCTCAGCTGGTGTCAAGATACCTGAGTCACCTAATACCAAACAGGTGAAAAGTTCCTTCTCTTTTAAATTCTTCCAGACCCCTCTTGTTTCATGATCAAACCTGCAGAAAATGTTGCTACAAACATCAGGTGTTTCATTAAGGTGGTTCAGGCTCTTTGCAGCTGTAAAGTTCCAGATTTTTTTGGAAGGAATGTGTCCCCTATGCATTCCACATGGGGAGTCAGTGTTGTTTGCGTTGGTTGGTCTGTGTGCATGTTTCTTTTTTACATAAAAGTAGTTTAAGGTATTAAGGTAAGTTTAAGTATTTTGCAAAATGCTTAGCTATCTTCCTGATATAAATATTTAAATATTTAAATAAATATTTAAAAATATTTACTGCAAAATTTACATGTATCTTATATAGAAAATCAGTTTTTTTCTTCTTTTTTTTTCCAAATGAAAACAGTGTTGTTATTAATAGATTTTGAAAAATGGGGACTTAATGTCTCCAGGACAGTGCTCTTCTGAAGACCAGCACCCTACACCAAAGGGAAATGCCTGGACCCATAACCTATTTTTAATTTGCTTATTTGTAACCATCTGTCCTCCTCTACTGCTATTACACTTTGACAATGTTGTTAGTTTGAGAAAGCAAAAGCCGCTTGCCCTAGCTGTGTTTTAAAAATAGGTTGGATATTGTAACTTGATAAAATTAAATATTCTGGTCTTATTCTCCTTGTATTTTTTACACTTAAGAGATTCAAAACTTATATCCTTATTTTAAAAGTATCACAAAACTCTATACAAAAAAGTATTTTAAATATTATGATAAAAGTCTGAAGTTAACATATGATAAGTATTCAGTACTTAAATATCTTGACTTGTGCAGAACAGAACTTTTACAGGAGGATGTGTTGGGTAGTATCCAGACCTTAAAAGAAAATGATTCGTGTTCCTGATGTTCGTGCAGCTTCAGCTTCTGAGACCTGCTAGACTGCTGCTTTAAACTAAATCCTGGAGTTAAAGGTGTATTGCGTACTTTTACATACCAATGTTTGTTCACCTGTTTGTTTTTAATAAAGAATTTTTATTGCCTTTGGTAGGCATTGTTTAGTTAAGATGGGCTCTGAGTCAGGCTTTGGAGGCAGAGGAGGTGAGAGAGAAAGAGGGGGAGTGTTTGGGACAGTACTTGAAAGCTGAATGTACTGCACATTTTGAGGGTACATATTGTGCTAAATAGCTTAAATCAATCACATATTGAGCTAAATAGCTTCAATCAATCTACAGTCGAGGCTGTGTGAGTGGCAGAGATGAGCGTGCCGGTGCTGCTTGCAGGGACATGGCAGAGGGGCTGAGCCGAGTTGTTGGGGTGGCAGGTCGGGGCTCGGACACTCCGGCCTCTCGTACGATAAGGTTAAAGTTGTGCAAGGTTCCCCGTGCCCAGCTCGTGCTGAATGAAATGAAAGTTAAGCAGGTAAATAAAAAAAAATGGGATTTGAGGGCTTTGCTCTTCAAGTAAGGTCAGGAAAAACACTTTGATGCCTAAACTGAAATTCTGATATAATTTAAGTGCTTTAGACTAATTACCAGTTTCTCTGGTAAGCACTGAAGTGCTTGCAAATAATTACTTAAGTTTTCATTAGTAACATCAATTAAGTGCCTAATATGTTATTATGTGTGCGTCTACAAATGTACTGCCATCCTGACCAGGGCAAAAATGCATTTACTGTGTTTGAAACTGCAGCCTAAGGATTCCTCTTCTCAAGTGTTGGGAACCTGATTGAATTTGCAAGTGCAGGTGCCCGTGGCTCATGCTGAGCTCCCTGGAAAGCCCTGCTGCCACAAAAGAAGGAGAAAACCTGACTGCATGGTGGAGCAAGGGTGGATATTGGTCTTTTGCTCATTAGGGGGCTGTGTATGTTCCCTCCTTCTTCTTTCTCTCTCCTCTCCGATGACTTTTTGGGGTGTAGTGAGCATGGTACTTAAAGCACTCACCTGAGGCACAGGTTTTTGCCTCTGACATACTGGGATTATCATCGTCTGGGATATTTCCCCCATCACTTGCATATGTTCCCCTCAAGGTAAAAATGTCTGTATCTGACTCAAGGCAAAGGTGACTTCACTTCTTCCTCAAGAAAGTGCTAAGGTGCTCAGATTCCCTTGTGAAAGAACAGTTAGTACCTACAATAACACTTGGGTAGAATTATACAGATATATATATTATATTCTATACGCTGTCATTTTTTTGTATACTAAAAAGATGACAAATTTGGGGTAGTATGATTCAGGTACTCATTTACCCTAAGCAGTTTTAAGAGCAAAAGTTATCACAGTGTCTAAGTGCTGGGATCTTAAGACTTGGTGGACACTGTGCTGTGATAATTTCCACATCAAACGTTCTCAGGTAAAAGTGAAAAAAAAGTAAAAAAGCTTTTTGTGCTGCTGATGCTCTTGTACCCCCTGCAATCTCCTTGGGGGGGACCCTCCCTTCCTGAAGGGCTGGGAGCATCGTCCTGTCCCTGCTTGGGCTAACTAGCCTCGCTGCCTGCACCGAGGGCACCTGAAGGCTGGATTCTGTGGTGCTGCAGAGAGCATTAAACCCACAGGCATCGCTTTTCTGTGTGTGTTTTACTACTGGAGTTTCATTTTCATTCTTGTGTTCTCTTTCGTTGCGTTTTGTCTCATTTGTTTTGTCAGGATCATTTCAGCAGGGATGTTCGACAAAAGCACAAGTGTCAGTTGTTTTAACTAACTGAAAAAGAAGAAAAAATAATCTTTATTAATGTTGGTCACTGAGAGTAGAATCCAGTTTGATCATCTGAACCAGTGTTGACTCTCTCTTACAAGCAGGGGTGAAAATTCAGTAGAAAATAACTAGATTTATATGTACATATATCAAGAAAAGAGTACAAGCATTTATCATTAAAGTCAAAGCAGCTTGAACTGAGCAGGGAGGAAGCCTCTCAATAAGAAGGCGTCGCTATTTTTGAGCAGTTTCACTGACCTGAAGCACCAGCAGGGCTCCCCGGGAGGAACTGCAGGATGGGCCCGTTGTCCTCAGCCAGGAGCCCCTGCAGAACGAGCGAGAAGGGCCCGAGTGCCTCGGGAGAGGGGCCCAGCAGCCAGTCGTGGTGACGAGGCAAATGCTGCTCCAGCCACACGAATCCCTTTTCATAACACTCTCACGTTGGCTTTTTGTTAGAATAAGGAATTCCACATTGCCTGAATTCTATTTTCTCTTATTTTATCCACAGAAAATATATGCACATATTTGTAAATAGGCTTTAAATTGCCATGGGCATTACTACAGAATCTACCATGCTCTCTATATTTAGGCACCACTATGCTGTGAGCAAAAGTATGCAATTTCATTTTCTACTATTTTATTTTTAATCGTACATGTAGTATCTTTATGTCCAGAGCCAAATGAGACTGTTTGCCACCTGTTGACGTGTTTATGTTAGGTACCTATACCTTTTTTTCCCCTTCTACCCATGCAGTGAGCTGCACGAAGCCGTTTCCAGTATGGGCTACCCCTCCTACGAAGCTCTGACAGTTCGTTCCTGGTTCCGATGCGTTCTGCAAATGTTCCTAGATCATCCGACGGGTGCGCTGGCCAAGACAGATGCTGAGCGAACAGTTGGTGGGTGCGCCCATTCCCCCAGCGTTTCCAGTAATGATTCTATATTGCAAAACTGGCAAACGTTCCCAGCTAATTACAAAATGTATTTTTGTTTGTATTCCTTTGCTTCTGCCTAATTACAAAATGTGTTTCTGTACACTGCTTGTGCTCCTTATTGATGGCTCGCCTCTTCTGCATATGACAAATTTATCCCAAACAAAGATAAAAGAGCTCGTTTCCTTGGAAGCAGAGAACAAAAACTCTCTCCCAAGGAGACAAGCTATTTTTCCCCCATGGAGAAACTGCTCTGAAGAAAAGTGAAAATATGAAGTAAATAGTCAGAAAACATGCTGTGAATGCCCTAAAAGAAAAAAAAAAAATCCATTTGTAAACATTTCTTTCTTATTTTATATCAGATATTTTGCTTTCCTTAGCTGTTTTTTCAGTATTTAGTGAGCAATACTTCTTTACTTTTTTCTCCAGAACACTGCAGTACTAATTAGCTAGTAGAACACATCTTCTAGCAACTATTTTTCATGCACCTTTTGTAGATTTCTAAGAAAACCATCAGTAAAATGGAAGATTTGGTTATCCATCCCTAATATTCTTCATCCTTGCAGTCCTGTATTGGATTCACACATTCTTTCTCTAGCAGGGTGCTGTCAATTGCTGAGTACTTGTGGTTTGGACATTTTAAAACTTTATTTTACTTTTCAGTTTTGTGGGAAGAAGAGTGACTAGAAAAGCAGTAGGCAAACATGACTGTGTGCTACACTTACTGTTGTGTTCTCTTGTAACAATCAGGGAAAGTCTACATGGAGCAGCTCTCTGAACTGACAAGACTGGTTTTTAAACTCAAAGAAGTGGAAAACATCCTCTCAAAGGCTCATCTCGAAGAGCCGTTTTCCAAGCAAGACCCTAAAAATGCTCTTGTCCAGTTTATTAAGGTATGTACCTTTGTGTTAGCTCATCGGATAGTTTAAGAGAAAGGGGATTGTGTGTGATATGCTGGTTTTGTTTTCCAGAAAGAATTCCTCACCCGAATCTCACGAGAGGTTAGTAGAGGTTTAATCCAGTGTTTATTTCAATGTCTTTTCTCAGGCTGTTGGAAAAACTTACAGTGGCCTTCAGACACTCCCTGAAAAATCCGCCATGGTAGCAAAGGCTCTGGAATACTTAGGTGATGTGTTGAAGTATGTGAAACCTTATCTGAAGGTGAAAGGCCCTCCCGAAGGCCTGCAGCTTACCTACTGGATCATAGGTAATTGTTCACAACATTCAGGAATGTCTGGGACTTTTGGTACTTTTGTGTTGTCTGTGTAAATGGTTTTTAAAAAATAAGAAAGCCAAGTCACCAAGACAGAGCAGTCATGGAAGTAAAAGCAGAAGCAACAACTCGCTGAAGGAGTTTTATGCTATGTTATGTTTACTGGAGTTAAGATTGGGGACAGGTCTGCTTGTGCAAATTAGGGATATCATATTCTTCCTTCTAGAAGTGCTCTCCTTATGTGCTCTCTGTGCTTTATTAAAGCTCAAATCCATTTCATTCCAGTGTAAAACCAGGAATAGGATGCAAAAATAATCAGGGTATTTATTAGGAATGAGTCTGAGCTGCTTATTTTTAAATAATAGGGTAAGCCTTACCTATCTTAAACACAGAGGTAACTGCATGTAAACACAGTGTTGTACATCGTGATGATGAGGAGTGCAGTGAGCAGCACAATCACAACACAGAAGGTGCCTCCAATGTACTGGAATTTGAATTTATAGAGCATTTTTCTACTGCAAGATCTGTATATTTTGCTGTACAAGATAAATGTCAAATGAAATGTTTTCACCTATGCAGATGTTGGAACTTTGCAAAGTAGTTTTAGATTGATATTTTCCTTTCTGTTCTTTGCAGTAGGTGTTGATTAATCTTCAGTCATGCTCTTGTGTACAAGAAATTGCCCTTTCTTTGTATTTCAGGGGAAAGAAAAGCTTTGCAAAAATGTTCAAGGGTATTTCAATTACTTCCTTAATGTTCTCTGATGTGGTAAAATTATAGGGGCAAACTAAGATCCTTAATATATCTAAAAAGTTTCCATCTGTGGAAATATATCAGATGGTGTCTTCTGCTGTCCCATATGTCACAGCAGTGGTGGTAGTGGGAGTATTTCAGTCTGCATGAGCACGTTCCTTTCAAAACAAGGAGCTCGGCCAACGTTATAAAAAGTATGGTTAAATGTTCATTCTCCTTCTGTGTGATGGATCATTGTGTTTTCTTTCACTCCACAAGATTAATGTTGTTTTTCGTTGCTTTTAGAGATGGTAATGGGAAGACTTTTATAGATTAATAATGTCTTGTAACACGCTATTTTTGATCTTTCATTATTTACCAACCCTTAAACAGATTTTCCTGAGATATTGCTGTATTTGCTACCCAGCAAACTTTTCCTTGCTTCTCCTTAAATATAAACACAAGCTTGTTTGTGGAAACAACTACATAGGAATCTCTTTCATTAGACACCCTGTACTATTTCATCTGTCTTTAGAGTATTTAAACTCCTGAGTATGCAGTTATCTTCTTGAGAAAACAGGCACCTCGCTTTGTCATAAAGATGCTTCTGAAAGTCAGGGTATTCGTGAGTTTTCCAGTTTTTGCAACTCAAAAACAAGATTTTAAAACTGGCTGAAGTTGTGCAAACCACACAGTAATGTGCTGGAAAAATGTAGGATGTTCTCTGTGACTCTCCATTTATGGACTGAGAGCCCGCAAAGATCTGCAGAGAGGATGCTGTTTCTCTGATGCTGATTGCATGTCGTTCCTTTTAACTTGCTAAATTAAAAACAGTAAATAAAGTTTAGAAGAAATGTAAGGTTTTTCTGACACGGAAAATCAGCGTGAGTGGTTGCTCCCGTGGCCACGCTGCCGTTACAGAAACGTGGCGGGAAGGCAGAGGCAGGGTCTCTCTGGAAAGTGCAATCCATGCCCACGGGTGAATGTTTTTAAGTGCACCTGGCCCTTATGCTATGGCTTGATGTTCCTGTTGGTTAATTTTCCTGCAGAGATGTGAGCAACTGTGCTTTCTTAAAGGCTTTACAGCGCTTTTCCCAAAGCAACATTGCTTGCCTAAAAATATTTATAGTATATTAAAACAGTTGGGTGCTTTCATTTGCTGAACTGTAAATGGACTTGAAATCTTCTTCGCTGGGTTTTTCTAGGCAGGTGCCACGGAAAAGCACACGTGGGAATGAGCTTTTTGACTGATACCATTACTCTTGCCCTACCTAGCTAATAGATGGCCCGTTTAGGCCTTTTGCCATAAACGACCTCGGAATTTCATGCTCCTTTTCCCACAGGGTGTCTTGTAAAGTTCTGGGCACCGATCCTGGCCACGTCGAGGGCGCAGCAGCTGCTCTTCCGCATCATAGACTGCCTGCTGCTGCCCCACTCCGTGCTGCAGCAGGACAAGGAGCTGCCCGGCGCCTGGCTCTCCGCCCTTCAGGAGAGCCTCCCCCTTTACCTGCAGGTAGGTGCCTCTCTTGTGTCAGCGCAGGAAGCTGGAAACACTTCAGGAAAGTGTTTGCATCACAGACAGACATTCCCTCTCTCCAAAACAAGCATTGCTTGCATTGAAGCAGCAGCAGCAGGAGCAGTGGAAGCTCCCTTGGCAGGCTGGGCTGCTTTGCTGTGCGACGCGCCGGCGTCGTGGCTCTGACCAGCCCACCTAGAGAGGCTTTTGGGCAACCTGCTCCTTCCCCTGCTCGTGGTGTGAGCGATTCTGAAACAGTAGATCAGGTACTCCTAACAGAAGGGGAGACACTTGTTGAAAGGCAGAGCAAACGAGCAGCTTTTAATTCGTCCCTGACTTTGCCAACAGGGGCTAATTTAAAGTATGCTATTCGCTGTATTTTTGTTGCTCTTAGTGACAAAGACAACCCTCTGCATATCATGGCATTCTCTTATCTTAATAGTTTGAGGATATGTTTTGCTGAATCAAATTCCTTTCCTGCTGTTTCCTGTTTATGCTTACGTTACTGAGGCCTTCTTGTCCATTATTCTCCCCTTCTTCCTCCAGCTTATCTGTTACCCTTGAAACTTTGTAACGCTTTGATGCTGTTGTAGAAAGGGTGGATTCCCATGGGTGAGGAAGAGAAAAATGTAGATTTTTAAAATAAGTAAGTTGACGTATTATATTATTCCTTGTAAATCCTTAGGTCTCTTGTGCTTGCCTTTTTCCCTTCCCTTGTAGCCTTCATGTGGATTGGAAGCTTAAAAATAATCCTTAAAAGTTATCAGCTGCAAAACAGTGAGGTAGTGACATTGTAAACATCTCTTGGATTTATTCCTTCTTTCAAAAGTTGCATTGTGCTTGATGGCCTGTCCTAGGGAAAGGAATATGGGTACCTGACGATGTGCAGGGGATGACTTGCTGCTTTACTGCTCTGTAGGTGTTTTCAGAAGCTGCCTACATCTAAGGCTGTCTGGACACTGATACTGCCACCGAGTGGGATTGTCTGCTTGCTAATTTGGTGTGGACGTTGAGGTGTCTTTCTGCAGCCTGCCCGCACGGATGGGGTCTCACGTGAAGCCGCTCCAGTTAGTTTTGAAGTGCCCAGCTCCAGCGAGACCCTGCTCCGCGTTTCCTTCGTCTGTCTTGGTCTTTCTGACCCCACTGAGGGACCCTTCAGCAAGCTGCTGCTTAATCCGTGTGCTTTCAAGACGATGATTCCAGATGATTTTATTGAGGGAATTTTTATTGAATTTATTGAGGAAATATTGAGTTTAGTTTAGAAAAAAAAAAGGCTGCTTCTGGAAAATCCAAACTATTCTTTAATTTGACAGACAGTTTTAGAGAGAAATCACTTGTGGAGAAAGGGAGAAAAAGAGCAGAAGGTTTTTTTTTTTTTTTCATATTTTATTACAGAACTGTTTAACTGATGTTATTTTCGAAAATTCCAAAATTGTTAAAGTGTTCATAGGGCTTCACTCGTTTGGAATTCCCTCCACTCAAATCAAAAATGAATATATTGGAATTATAGTTTAAAACCTGGTTCTCATGGGACCTCTTCTGAGCTCCTTTGCACTGACTGAGAGGGTTCTGGGCACTGCCTTGGACTTCTAAGCTAGTTTTGCAGTTGGCTTAAGCCAGTGGATTTGTTAGCTGCCACCAAAAAGAGGAAATTCCTTCCATTGCCACATCTTTAACGATTTAGTGATTTTTAATGATTTTGTGAATAAGGAATGACTCAAATCTGTGAGCAGATTCAGCTGAGAGCTGCCTCTAGCAGCAGCAACAGCAGCAGCAGCAGCAACAAATCAGGACGATCAGAACAGTGGTGTAAGAGTGTAGGTGAAAAGGAAGGGATTTGGCCATGGTGGGAAAGATGGATAGCCAAGGGCATGAGCAAAAAGCCATTTTAAAGTTTTATGGCACTGTTTTTAATTATGAGATAGAGGTGTGAAAAATCTAACCTCAGGTGTTCTGTGGTTGGGAAAACTTGATCTGATGTTGGCACGGGTGGATTGCTGAAGCTGCTGCAGGGAGTTTCAGACCGAGTTAGTTCGCTCGTTGGTGGGTTTCTTAGGGAATGATTTGGAGGAATCCTTGTGCATTTTTGCCAGTAATATGGGAAGGAACTTAAAGCAGAGAAGAGAGCTGATTTCAGGGAAGATGCAGTAGTCTAAATATGTCTTGCAGAATGCGGCATAGGTGCATGGAATAAGCCTAACGTGCATGATGATGGAAAAGATAAGATACTCTGCTTGACTTAGGAGTGTTAGTCTGTCCAAATGCAGGAGATGATTAGTAACTATCTAAATGCAGGACAGCACTGGAAGAGCTGGATTCGAGGCAGTGCTGGGCACATACATTTCCCAGTGACTTTAATGGGCCTGTGCAGGCTCAGCATTTGTCAGAGATCAGACCTTAAAAGCCCTCCCCTGAGCCACATCTGTGGCCTGATATTTGAGCAAGCTTATTAATACGTTTTGTGAATTATAGTATGTGTTTAATAGGAATTGTACATCATTAATTGGTGAACAGCAGATTTATTCCAACAGCAGGACTGATCTTATAAGTCATCATTAGGTAGCTTGGCATTTCTGCAGTGAGTAGTTCCAGTAATCCATACTAATCGGTTCTCCACTCTCCACAGGTGATTTACAGATAGATGAATAAATCAGAAGAAAGAGGCATCTCTGGCCACAAAAGATTCCTGCAGTGAACACACACAGGAATCAGTTGTCTCTCTGATAAAATGAGGAGCAGATGTTGTCGCGTCCCTCTGGTCCCCTTAAAATTTCTTTGTTTTTCTGCCTAATTTTCCTCAGAAGATGACTAAGGAATACAGTGAAGCAAAGGGCGCAGTTCCATCAACCCCTTGCTGACCATCTGCTTTGTAGAGATTGCCCTAGGAGTGTAATGCAGTTGGCTTCAGACCTGTGTCCACTGCACAGGCCACCGGCAGGCATTTCTTCTTCTTTTTTTCTTGTACCCTGTGCAGCATTTGCAGCTGATCAGCTTGAAGAGGTCTCTTGTTTTAGTCAGCACCGCTGCTTCTTCACAGGCGACGCGCTCTGTGCTTTATCTCATGGCTCAGGCAAACGGAATAGTGCAAGTAGGTATTGTCTGTGCCTTGGATTCCGTGTCCTTGCAGTGTTCCCTGCATCCCTGAGATCTGGAACACACTCCTCACAGTTGGTGCTTGTGTAGAAACAGTCCAGAGATTTACGAGGTCCAGCTTTCATTGCAGGGTTATGGGTTTTATTTTATAAGAGCAGTGCCAGAGAAAGCACAAGTGACTCCCTTAAACCTCCTGCAACGTCTCTTTAAAGACACTAAACACTTCAGCTTACAAACTGAATAACATCATCTGTAACAGTAGCTCTGCCTTTATTTGCCATACAGTGTTTTTGAGAAGTCTGAGGTAGTCGCGACTGCCTTTTAGTACAAAATTTTGTTCATAGCAGCAAATGCCAGAGAGAACCTGAGTTGCTTATTAAAGCCTAACTTTGGTTTCAGTAGTGGCTGAACTTCAAGTGAGACTTTTATCATAGAGACTTACCACATTTCCAAGGAGCTCTGCACACATGTGAACTTCTGCTCCAGCTAAAGTTGTCTGTGTTTGGGGGGGCTTCCTACAGCCCCAATCCTCGTGCACCTTCTCTCACACAGACTCGTATCAGTAAGAGCAATAGTCGTCTCGCAGATGGGGCACGTGTGTGGTGTGTGAGTAAATACAGAGCTGCTCAGGTCAGCACTTCCTGGTACGCTTCCATTTGATATTTTCTTGGCATCAGTATGACTTATATTGGATAGGTCACACCAGCTTAATCCGCATTTTAAAGAGATTGTAAAAATCTTCAAATCTCTTGTAATGGCTCGTTAATTTACAAAAGTCTGTTTATACTGTGGTTGATTTCTTTTCTTGTCAGACATCATTCTAAGCACTCGGTGTTCTGCTGTGCCATTCACACAGAAGTGTCTCAAGTTGCTTTACAATTATTGAGCTGCTCCACTTCCCCTCCTGCATCTTGCTTGTCTAATATCTGTTCTTAGATCACAAATGAAGCTGAAAAAGAAAAGAGTTTTTGGGCACAGACACCCTTCCTTGGGTCTGAGGTGCTGTGAGTTTACTTGGAATTCATGGGGAGCTTGTGTGTGCCAGAGCTCATCTTCCAAGTATATTAGCTATCTAGTAAAGGATATTTCCCCTCTTTGTAAGCCTTGCCCTGACTTGATCTTAGACCACAGTAGCTGCAGCAGATTCCTGATGCGTGTTTGTCATGCAGTGGTCATTGAGCATGCGGCTGTAGCTCACATTCAGGTTGCAGAGGAATATGGAATGGAGGCAGCCTCCTCGTGTTTATTTGAGATTTATTCCATTTTCTTTTTGAATTTTCTTTTGCAGGGCTTGTCCTTTATATGTTGTCAGCCCCTGAATCAGGGGCCCTATTTGAATCAGCTGCTTGGGAACATTATTCAGCAGTATTTTGGACGCTTCCTCCCTTCCTCACCGTCGGCGCCGGCCGTGGGACTGCATCCCGTGGCAGTAGCCCTGAGCTCCTCCATGATGCCCGCCCAGATGCTCCATCTATGGAAGACCACTCTGCACGTCATCAAGTAAGCAGGAAGCGCTCGGATTTCCCAGAGCTGCTGGGAAGGGAAGTGTCAGCATTGGCTTCTCTGAACAAGCAGGGTCTGAACCCGGCTCTGTAGAGACGCACTCAACGACGGTGCCTGTTGTGACAGGCTCTCAGTCTGCGGTGGTTCAAGAAGTAGCTGTTAAAAATAGTGGGTTTGACAGAGGGCAGTCTGGGAGCAAAAGAAATCATGACAGCAGCCAGGGGAGCACAGCATAAACCCATCAGTTAAATGCACTTCTTTCCTGTTACTCCTGACTTTTACATTTACTTTTTTAGTGATTAAGAGATTTAGAGATTATCAGAACTTGGGCTGCAGGGAGAGGTAGAGGCCAGGAGGGAGAATTGCCGACTGCTGTCGCCACCAGCCACTTCCAACAGCAGCCGTAAGGCTGGGTCCTTTCTGCTGGAGGCTGAAGCTCTTTGTTTCATCTTTTTGTCCTTGTTGAACACCCTCAATGTATGGCCAATATTTGAATTTTAAGTAATTTTAATGTATGAAATAGCGGGCATGCCTGTTTGCTATATAAAATTCAAGGTTGATCTTAGATTCAGGTAGATTTGATGGGCAATCCTGTAAGTAAAGCCTGTGTTACCATGAATTAAGAAAGATTTAAAACATCCAGACAGTTACTTTGAAGGCTCTGGGAGTTTCCGTGTTAGGTGATGATGAATTCTGTGCTCCGTTTCCCTGTGCTTTTCCCTCCCAAATACCTGCGTGGGAAAGTCACTGCCTTCGGGTGTCAGTAAAGCCGCTCCTAATTTCAAATCAGCAGCAGTTTAGGCTCTTGCCTCCTTTTGTGAAAGATACAAATCAAGGCATTAAACCTGGGGCACTCACAATGTGTGTTGCCAACATTTGCTCCTGTGGCCGGATGACGGGTAACCCTGTATCTTTGTAACAGACTTTAGAGCCGAGGTAGTTGCATTGCTTCTGACAGAGCAAAGGCAGGGCCTGCCCGTCCCATTGCGATATAATGGTGACAAAAATGACTAACAGCACGTTCCTGTTCCTGGCAACGAGCAACAGTAGAGCTGTTAGCACCGTGGAAATGCTAGGAAGTTGGCAAAAGCACCTAACCAAATTGCCTGAATGGGAGCTCTGTTCTGGATGGTGCTTTCAGAGCCTACTTCCATTCAGTTATTTCATTCGTCTGCCTTTGTATTTTAACTTTCCCAGCCGCGTTTAGCTTTTTACCTATGACAGCTGCCATTCTCACTTCCCTCCCAATGGGTGACGTGGAAGGCATCGCTGTCCTCTCAAACTGGGAGGCGTCGCCAAGGCCAAGGCCAGCAGGAGCCCTCAGCTGTGGCAGGATAAAGCCGGCGATCCCGTAAGGGCGCCGCGTTGACGCGCGGAGCCCGTCCCGTGGGGAGCGCGGCGCTGACGCGCGGCCTGTGTCGCAGGGAGCAGCACCTGGAGGCGCGAGGGGCCGCGCCGCCCCGCCTGGCC